CTCACAATAATACCCTTGCTGTCTATGCAAGTGGTTGGATGCATCAGTAATTGGTTCATGTTCTTACTGGTGAGCAGAGTTGTGCGGTATGGATGTACTAGTTTTAACGATTTCCCTACAGTAGAACACTTTATTTTTCCTCCACCTTTGGTTGTCACAAACTGCTACGGGCGTAGGTGTGCATGGGTATGTTTCCATTACTCTGTAATAAATGCTCAAAAGTTGTGGTAACTAAATTTCACGGTAAGTATATATTTAGATTTCTCTCTCTCTCTCTCTCTCTCTTTCTCTCTTTCTTTCTTTCTTTCTGCAGTACTGGGGATTGACCCCAGATCCAGTAAACTAAGCTACCTCAACAGCCCTATTGCAAAGGCTGGGGTATAATTTGTGATTCCTCTACCTCAACTTCCCAGAAAGCAGGGATTACAGGCATGCACTACTATATATATAAAACTGGCCACGTGTGTGTGTGTGTGTGTGTGTGTGTGTGTGTGTCTTGTTTTAAAAGGAAACTGCGGAATTACTATCCAGAATATGTGTGCCCTTTTACATTCCCACTAGCACTGCACGAAGGATTCAGTTTTCTTACTGGTGTTTGGTATTGGCACTAACTTTATTATAGCTGTTCAAATAAGTGTGTGATAATGTCTCATGGTCATTTGTTTTTGTTTGTTTTGGTACCGGGATCAAACTCAGGACCTTGTGCTTGCAAGGCAGGTAGTGGAACCACTGAGCTAAATCCCCAGCCCTCTCATGGTCTTCAGCTACGTTTCCCTAGTAGTTAATGATGTTGAACATTTTTGGGGGGCGGGGGTTACTGGAGATCGAACTCAGGACCTTGTGCTTATGAGGCAGGTAGCAGCACCACTGAACTAAATCCTCGGCCCTGTTGAACATCCTTTTATGGCTTCGTTTCCATTGGTATATTCTTTTCAGGGAAATATTTTGTGTTTTACTCATTTGCTAACTGGATTGCTTCTTCCCCTCCCTTTCCCTCCCCCATCCTCCTTCTCTTCCTCTTCTCTTTCTTTCCCTCCTCCTCCTTCTCTTAATGAGGTACCAGGGGTCAAACCTGTACAACTGAGCTATGTTCTCAACCCTCTCTTTCCCTCTTTCTTTTTTCTTTCTGCTATGTTTTTAAAACTTCTTTATAAATTCTGAAATGAAAGCTTGTCAGATTTGCAATTTTCCAATATTTCCTTCCTGTCTATACCTTATCTTTTCATCCTTTTAATAGGATCTTTCACAGAGTAAAAGTTTTAAATTTTGATAAAGTTCCACTTATCAATTTTTTGCCTTTTATTAATCATACTTTGATTTCATGTTTAAGAATTTTTCACTAAGCCCTAGGTCCTAAAGATTTTGTCCTATTTTATCTTCTAAAATGGTTTTACACTTGACATTTAAATCTATTATTCACTTGGAGTTAATATTTATATAAGTTAATTTTTGTTTGGTTTAGATTTCCTTTTTTTTTTTGGTACCGGGGATTGAACTTGGGTCCTTGAGCTTGCAAGGCAGGCCACCGAACCGCTGAGCTAAATCCCTGGCCCCCTAGATTTCCTTTTTTTAATGTTTACCTATAAACATCCATTGGCTCTGTCACCAGTGGCTGAGAAGGCTATCTTTCTTCCATAGAGTTGCTTTTATATCTTTGTGCAAAATCAATTGGCCAAGCTGGGTGTAGTGATGCATAGGCCTGTAATCCCAGAAGTGTGGGAGGATGAGGCAGGAGGATTAAAAATTCAAGCCCAGCTTGGGCAATTTAGCAATTAATAAGACCTTGTCTCAAAATAAAAAGTTTTAAGGTTTTTGTTTTTGTTTTTATTTTGTACCAGGGATCAAATTCAGTACCTTGTGCTTGCGAGGCAGGCAGTGGAACCACTGAGCTAAATCCCTGCCCAAGTCTTCCTTGTCTTAAATAGGTCTTGCTATGTAGCCTAGACTGACCTCAAACTCATGACAATCCTCTTGCCTCAGCCTCCCGAATGCTGGGATTACAAGTATGTGCCACCATGCCCAGCTCAAGTAATTTAAAAGGGATTATGCATGGCCCTGTATTTTGCATTTCAATTTCCATATATTCATTACTAATATGGTCTATAGAAATGCAATAGATATTTTATATTGATCATATATCCTGTGATGTTGCCGAACTCTTAAGATTCAGGAAGTAGGACTGGGGATATAGTTTAGTGATGCTGTGCCTGCCCAGCAAGCACAAGGTCCTGAGTTTGATCCCCCGTACTAAAAAAAAGTTTTGAAAACTTTTCTGGTAGATCCCTTGTGGTTTTCTACATATATAGGTATTTCTCCTGTAAATCAGGATACTTAGTTTTTCTTTTTTATCTTTATGCCTTTTCTTTCTTTCCTTGCTTTATTGTGCACTGCTAAATAGCAATGGTGAAGATGAAATCCTGGCTTTATTCTCAGTGTTGGGGGAAATAATGTGTTTTTCACTGTGATATATATTAGTTGTAGTTTTTTTTATATTTTTTTTTTATTAGTTGAAAAAGTGTCCTTGTATTCTTAGTGCTTTTGAGTTTGAGTTGTTGGTTTTTTTGTTTTGTTTGATGCAGGGTCTTGTTATATAGCTCAGGCTGGCCTCAAACCCATAGCAGTCCTCCTGCCTCAGCCTCCTAGAGTGCTGGGATTACAGGTGTGCACCACCATACCTAGCTGCCTTTGAATTTTTAATAACTAATGGTTGTTGAATTTTGTCAAATGCTTTTTTTGCTTTAATTGATTTGATCATATACTTTTTTTCTTCTCCTATTATTAACCTGGCTTTGCCTGTAACCTATAATGATAGGTTACATGGATTCATTTGTGAATACTGAACAAATCTTGCATCCCTGGAATAAACTCCACTTGTTCTGTTATAAAATTCCTTTTATATACGGATCAATTCTATTTATTCATATTTTGCTTGAGTTTTCTGTCTATATTCATGAGGGGTATTGTTTGTCATTTTCCTTTTTGGTACTGTTGTCTGTTTTGGTATCAGGGTGGTACTATTTGTATGAAATATACAGAGTAGTGTGTCTTTCTCTTGTCTCTTCTGGAAGACATCATGTGGAATAAGTTGATTCTTTAAATACTTGGTAGACTCCTTTAGTGACACTCTGAGTGCAGAGATTTCTTCTCTGAGCATTTTAAGATTATGAATTCTATTTCCTTTATCGTAGGTGTTTCAACTGCTCTATTTCATTTTGAGTAAGTAGTGATAATTTTACTTTTTGTGGCACTAATCAATTTTATTTAAACTGTCAAATTTAATGTATGAATATAGAGTTGTTCCCCCCTTCTTCCTTTTTCATCCTAGAGTGGAACTCAGAGACTTCTGCATACTGAGCTATATCCCCAGGCCTCCTTATTATTCTTTTGATTTCTGCAGAGATGCATTTATTTCCTATATTGGTAGCTTGTATCTTTTCTCTCTGTTTTTACTTTTGTCCATCTTGCTAGAAGTTTGTCAGTTATACTCATCTTTAAAAAGAACCAAGTTTTAAAAATGAAGTAATTAATTTTTATTGTGGCAAAATATATAACATTGCTTTTCACTCTGATTTAACATTTTTGTTCCTTCTCTCTATTCTTAAGAGTTTTCCTGTGATGCATCTTCCCATGGACTTCTTTGGACTTGTCCTTTCTTTGGGGTTTGCATAGCTTGTTGACTTTTGTAGGTTTACGAGTTCTGGTGGGTCAAATTTAGGAATTTTGGGCATAAGGGTATAGCTCAAAGAGAATTACTTTCCTAGCTTGCAGTAAACCCTGAATTTGGTCCCTAGCACTGACAAAATAAGAAAATTTTTTTTTCCCAGCTATTATTTCTTCAAATATGTTTCCAGTTTTTGTTATATTCCCACATATCCCTGAAGCTCTGCTCATTTTTTTGTAGGCTGTTTTCTCTTTGTAGTTAGGGCAACGATTTCTGCTGCTCTTTCAAGTTCGATTATTTCTCCTGTCCCTTTCTGCTATGAGCCTAGCCATTACATTTCTTTTTAAGTTTTTTTCCTTCAGTTCTAAAATTTCCATTTGGTTCTTCTTTATATCTTCTATTCCTTTATTGAGATATGTCTTTTCTGAGATTTTCTATTTTTTCAAGCATATTCATAATTGCTTATTGAATGTTTTTCTAATGGCTGCTATAAAATCTTATTTAGGTAACTCTAACATCTATGTCATCAAGGTATTGGCTTTGTTGATTGTCTTTTCTCATTTAGTTTGGGATCTTCTTGGTTCTTTGTGTGGTGAGTAATTTTCAATGTATCCTAGAATTTTTGGTATTGTTATGAGACTTCCCTCTCACTGGGGATTCAACCCAAGACCTTCACACTGAGCTACATCCCCAGGTCTTTTTTAAAATTTTGAGACAGGGTTTTACTAAATTGTTTGGGCTGGACTAAAATTTGTGATCCTTTTGCCTCAGCCTCTCAGAGTGCTGGGATTACGTGAGGCATACCATACACCACCAAGCCTGGGTGAGATTGAGTTTGACCTAAACATTCTGTTACCCGCAGCAAATACGGGGGGGGGGTCATCTCCTAATTACCACTGAAGTTCAGGCCTCCACTGATACCATAGCAGCGGGGAGGAGCAGCGGTGCTTTCTGACTGCTCCACACTTGGCCTCCGCTGATACCAAGGCACAGGGGTGAAGTGTTAAAATGTGAGGGTCAGAGCTCTGACTTTCTACGAGCTCCCTCTTTGACATCAGACCAGTGGGAAGGGAGAGGGGCCTCAGTACTGCCTGGCTAGAATGAAGTCCTTGCTCCTCACTTGGCATCCTTCTCCAACAACACCAGTCCAAGGAGGGTGGAGGTCAGGACTCCAGGCTCAGGCTTTGGCTGATGTTGGTGGGGGTGGGGTGGCGCTGGGAGAGCATTATTGTCCTGCTAGGCTACGCCTTTCCTGATCCTTTGGTGGACACAGTAGTCTTTTCTGTTGGGACTTTTTTTTAAAATTTCCACTTCAATTGGTGTTTCTGGGTTTCTGAATTTCTGGCTTCTCCAGCATCAAGTCTAAGATAAAGGACACAGAGAAAGAAAACCAGGGAATTTACCATGGATTGCTCCACAGGTCCTGAGGTCCCTAGCCCATCTGCCTTCTCTCCACCTTTCAATCTTCTTCTTTTTATTTCTTTTTTTTTTTTTTTTCAGTACTAGTGATTGAACCGAAGACCTTTGCACTGAGCTATATCCTAAACTTTTTTTAATTTGTTTGAATTTTAATCTTATTTTATTGTTGTACTGGTGATTGGACTCAGGGACTTTTCACTGAGCTATACCACTCCAACCCCTTTAACATTTTTTTTTTTTTTTTTGAGACAGCATTGTCTAGGCCTGGCCGGAGTTTTCCACCCTTCTGCCTCAGTCTCCCAGAGTGGAGGGATCACAGGTATGTGCCACCATGTTAGGCTTCAATCTTCCTGTATTTGTTTCATATACAACATTCATATATGTTCAATTGCTCTTAGTGAGAAGAATAAGGAAGACTACTTCCACTTCATCTTTCTGGGATTAGGAGTCTGTATAAATGATATTATTATTACTTTTCTTTCTTTAGTGTTGGAAATTGAACCCAGGGCCTCATTTGTGCTCAACATGGGTGCTCTACCACTGAGCTACACCTCCAATCCTAAACAACATTATTTTTTAACAGTGCAGGTGATCAGGAAGTTTTGGAATCTGCTTGTATTATGTTGTTAAAGGAGAATAAAAAGAGATTTAACAACAACAAAAACACACACAGAAAAAGATTCAACATTTTTTCATTGGATAGCTGATCTGAAAAAATGCAATCATTCCATATTTTTATCCTAATGAAGTAGGGACCCTCAATAGTTTGCTTAGATATTTGAAACTCACCGGTAAACTTCAATCACTTTTATTAAATGCTAAAAATATATTTGTTTAAAAATCAAAAATTATTGGGGGTCTGGGAAGTGGCATAATCCGTAATTCCAGTGCCCTGGCAGGCTGAGGCAGGGGGACTACAAGTTCAAGCCTAGCCTGGGCAACACAGGGACTTAGTGAGAGAACCTGTCTCAAAATTTTAAAAAGGGATGGGGCTGTAGCTCAGTATAAAGGCACCAGCTTTCAATCCTCAGTACTGAGGAAGAAATTAAGTCACAAACTGCTGGCCCCTGTTGAGTCCCTAGGGCCCCTGTGTGCTCAGAAGCAGGATGTAGAATGATTAATTCTGGGGGCGGGGTGGTGGTCACAGGGTCTCCTCCCCAGATTCCCTTATGAAAATGCACAAATGTAGCCATTGCCCTAAGAATCCAGTTCTTTCCTGCTCTGGTGAGTATAAAGTGAAGACACTCCATAAACTGAGGGCACAGAGTAAAGTCGGGGTGGATTCCAGAGGGCAGGCTGGGAATGGGGCTGGGGAGACAGCTCCTGGAATGTGGCAGTGAACATGAGGTATATTCCCTAAAATTCAGCTTGTCTCCCCGCTTGGCTGCCAGATGATCTGACTTGTGCATGACCAGGTGGGGCAACTTTCTCCATCCGTGTGTAAAAATAACAAGCATTCACTGAGTGCTTAGTGTATGCTATGCACTGTTTGTATACCATAGCATGTAAAAAAAAAAAAAAAGATACAGATACCATAGCATGTCATTCTACCTGAGTTTGTTATTAGTCCCATTTCTCAGGAATTTTACAGAAACCAGGTATAGAGAAGTGAAGCAAGTTGCCAGAGGTCACAGAGCCAAGAAGGACAAGTAGCTGAACTTTCTGATTTTACAGCTTGTGTTATCAAGATGCTAGTGGTAGTACCTTGTGATCATGCATCCTGGCTGGGGCCCAGAGACAATAGGTGTTATACGGCTGTTTCACAGTGTCAATGAATGGCCAGCCAGAAAGCATGGCTGGCTTCTGCTATGTTACAAGTCACACTGCAGAATGACACTTGGTTGGGCATAGTTAGGCCTTCTGAGTCACAGTGCTCCATGACCAGTGTTTTGGCTAGGAGCACACTTGCTATACAGAATACTATGATCACAGGAGTATGCTCTATGTCATTATGTTTGTTATTTTAGTCTTCCCCCCCTCCCCCTGCTTTCACTGGACCTTTAAAAAAATTTTTTTTTGTGGGGGGGGTTTGAAACAGGGTCTCACTATGTAGTTGAGACTGACCTGGAACTCACTATATAGCCCAGTTTTGGGGGGGTTGTTTGAAACAGGGTCTCACTATGTAGTTGAGACTGACCTGGAACTCACTATATAGCCCAGGCTGGTCTCGGACTCATAGTGATCCTTCTGCCTTAGCCTCCCAAGTGCTGAAATTACAGGCATGCACCAATATGCCTGGCCCTTAAAAATTTTTTTTATTTAGAGACACGGTCTTGCTAAGTTTCCTGGGCTACCTCTAATTGCCTGACCATAGTATGCTTATTTTTATTTTTATTTTTTTGGTACCGGGAATTGAACTTAGGTCCTTGAGCTTGCCAGGCAGGCGGTGGAACCACTGAGCTAAATCCCTGGCCCCATAGTGTGCTTTTCACCTCAGGATAGATTCTCTTGACGATTTTAAATTGTACGTTGCAGAATGTGACCAACTTTTCTTTTTCTGACCAACTTAATTTTTGAAAATTTTTAGTAGGTGAGGGACAAACTATAAAAAGGAAGAGCTAGATAAAACAACACAGCTTTTTATTACTGTAGAAGACAACGTACAATTACTGTATACCATGTATGCATACAATAATTCTTAATATTGATGCTGCTTTGAATGGGAATATTGCTTTTCTTCCAAGGACAAATAGCTTGAAAGTAGGAGCCACGTTATTCTTTTTTCCAAGTTTACTATAAAAAAGAAATTTGACCACCTTTGTTCTTGCAAAAATTCAAGTTACAAATCAATCTAAAAGGAATTAAGCTGCCCTTGGTAACGTGAGGCCAGGGAACTGATGTCAATTGTGTGGATTCCAGCAGGGAAACAAGACCGAGGTGGACAGCACTGAACGATTGGAATGGGAGACAGAGCATTTGTGAAGGAGGTGATGTGCAGACTTCTAAAAATTTAATGAGGATGTGATTTGACATGTGGACCCCCGTTGTTTGCTTGGGCAGAGCGGAGCATGATAATCTGTTCAAGATCATCTCCATTCCTGGATGAAATTAGGTTCTGGAAAACATTCCTTTCATGACTGTAAGCCTACAGTGAGCTTGCCTGCCTTGTATGCCTTCCCCCGACTGAACCTGGCCCCTCCCAAACAGATGTAACAGATTAGTCGAGCTCCCCATCTGCTGATAGCCACCACTGCATCTGCATTTCTTGACCCTTATCAGAAGAGAGGGGAACTGCTCTGTGCAGGGTCTGGAAGCAGCCACAGCTTGGGCAGCCTGCAAAGCCTCTTTCTGGCAAGGCAGAAAAGAAATCAGCCCTGGCAGGGTTTAGGGGCTTGTGAACCTTAGCACTGGGAGAGGACACTTGTCTGACTTTACAGACTTCCACTTGCAGGGTGGAGATGAATGTACAAAGAAGTCCTGACCTTTCCAGAATGTGCACATTCGTGATTTCTTAAACTATTTCTGCTGTGGTCAGAAGGCTGATAAATGTGTTTCAACATGTTTTCAGAATGTTTTCCATTTGCCTTGGCCCCGCTCACCTAGCAAATACTGTTTTTTCCCTTTTTTTAAAAAATGGGCCTCCTGCCTTGCAAGCACAAGGTCCCAAGTTCAATCCCCAGTATGGGGAAAAAAAATGGGGGCTGAGGATGAGCTTAGGGACACAGCACCTGCCGGGCAAGCACGAGGCCCTGAGTTTAACTCCCCATAACAACAACAAAAAGGCCACAGCCAACAGCGGATAGTTGACATAAAATAAAAACAAATTATAGCCCCTAATATGAAGGTGGGCTAAAAAAAATTGTTTTGGAGACAGGGTCTTACTACATAGTTCAGACTGGCTTTGAACTCACCTTGTATCTCAGGCTGGCCGGAAGCTCATGGTGATCCCTCTGCCTCAGCCTCTTGAGTGCTGGGGATTATAGGAAAGCACCACTACACCACCTGACACTGAAGGAGAATATCTATAAAGAGAGTAGGACAGGAAAATTACAGCTAAATAGTTATTTGTGTAATTGTTTGCTTAATGGATGTATTGCTTCTAAGCCATTTGTCCCATGAAGATAGGGGCTGGAACAGAGACTAGAATACAGGAGGTACCTAAATCTTTACTCTATCATTATTATTATTTATTTATTTATTTATTTTGGTACCAGGGATAGAACTAGGGTACTTGCGTTTGCAAGGCAGGCCACCGAACTGCTGAGCTAAATCCCCGGCCCCTAAATCTTTAAAACTGATTGAAACAATGCAGTAACTGGTTTAATAATATTAGCTTGGATCTATGTCTGCAGCATGAATTGTTTTCCTTACAAATTAAATGATAAAACTTTCAACATTCAAGCAAACAACCCAAAAGTTAGACATAACTGAGTGCCTATTTTAGTGGATAAATGTGGAAACATTAATGTAACACCTGTACATCAGGCACCTGGAAGGCTGAGACAGGAGGATTACCAGAAGTTCAAGGTCAGCCTGGGCTACATAGTGACTTCAAGGCCAGACCAGACTCCATAATGAGATCCTCCTGTTTTAAAAAACAAAAAATAAAAAAGTGACAGTTTTAAAAGCTTCCAGTTTCCCCAATAAAGCACAGAATTGACACACACCCTAATCCTTTATCCTCCCAACATTTTTGCAGGCTTTGTCAAAATGGGGGCAATATTTTCACAAACCACAGGATTGTGCTTTATTCTCATGCAAATTCGATGAGACTTGATCAAAAAAACAATTTTCAGATTCATACTCTGAGAGAAGCACTTCCAGATCAGTTTAAGAAATCTAAAGAATTAGGGATTGACATTAAAAAACATTTATAATTGATATTTTTCAGTTCAAAGCTTTACACGGCACATTATCAAGTTCAAAGTATACTGTCTTCTTTTCCCAGCAATGATACTATTATCCTCAGATAACAAAGCTGACAGGAACAAGATTAGAAAGCCACATCTGTGTGTTGGGACCTCAACCTACATCTGCTGACTCCCAGGCCTCTTTTGTGTTACATTTTTATCATACAGGCTGCCAAATATCTTATCTACACCCAAAAGTGTCCTCGTGTTTTCGGAATCATCAGAATGCTGGGGGTTTAATTCTTCACGTTATGGGGAAATTGAACTCTTTGGAACTATTCCACAACCTTTTACAAAAAGGTGAAAACTGTCTGCTTTGATAGATGATGGTGGAAGAAGCCTTTGATTCAATGGACAATTTAAATATAAAACAATGGCTGGAAAATTCTATTAGAGAAGAACTCTCCTCTGTTACAATGTTTGCTTCTCTTTAATGCAATTTGGTTTGAGGAGAAAGGGGTGGGAGGACCCACATTCAACGTTGCTGGAGGAATTACTGGAAAGGAGGCAGGAGGAGAGAGACGGTTCACAGATGTGGGACAGGGGCGAACTGAGGCCTTTCGCCAGCTCCTGGCTGTGCCCACGGGAAATTGAATTGAGAACTTCTTCTGCATCATAAATCCAGGGCAGCTGGCAACCATTCAAGGGAGACTGGCGCTCACTCCAAGGGCATCTGAAGCCGGGCTGGCCAAGGCCCTCTAATGTGCGCTAAGGGCTGGGCCCCAAGTGTGCCGGATTGAGATTCGGTCCCAGCCTCATGACAACATTCATTACAAGCCTTACACTTTGTTAATTTTAAAATGCGCCCATCGCGAGGAAAGGAGAGGCTCCATTATACGTTAAAGCTGAAAGGCTGCAATTTTTCTGACACGTCCTGGGGCTGGAGGGAGAATGCCTGATTTGGTGCTCTCATTTCTAGATCTTGTTCCCCGAGTGCACAGGCGAACTAGACCCCAGACACCTAAAGAATTAGGGGTTGACATCGTAGAGTGGGGGATCCTGTTGTCCCAGACCCCACGTGCTCTCCAGGTTGCTGGGAGGCAGAGGCTAGAGTGGTCTAGAGGTGCACGCGTTGGAGGGCTGCGTCCCTAGAAATCCCGAGATCGCGGACACCGCCCGGCTCAGTCTGTTCCCGAGGGCGGCGCCTTGCGGGCTCGGGCCCCGCCCACAGCGCCCAGGACGAGGCGGGGCCTAGGTC